CTGCAAATTTATTTTATGTGGATCCTGCAAGGGGACATGGGGGTTGGGGTGTCTTTAGCATTCCCATGTAATACTATTGCATTACATTGCAATACTTGTTGCATTCTCTTACAAAAACTACCGTTATGTCTGCCGGTTTATTTACAAATTCACATGCTCAACAATACACAGCAGTTAGCCTACTACTTTAATGAACATATTACAGCCAGGCATGTAGTTATATCAAGCTAAAATGCAGATAATTTTACTCCATGCAGCCATGCAATACCACTGTCAATTTCCCGAACTTTTGACAATATCCTGTTTTGGTAACAGGACATTTCAAAATAACAGTCTGGTTTAAAACAGTTCATACAAAACATTTAACTTTTGCCAGGGATTGCAAACTTCTGCATGGGAACGCAAAAAGCATTGCATGAAAATGCAAGGGAACAAAAAAGGAAAAAATCCCCCTATGTCCCCTTGCGGACTCCGTAATTTTAAGTCTTATAGCCTATAGGACAAAACAACAACAACAAAACAATGAAAAAATCTAATAACCATTGCCCAACTCACTCTGCTTGTATAAATAAGTTTACCACCTCTCCCGTCCTCTCCTCTGTGTTGCAGATGCTGTTGTCTCCACCCCACGTTCTGGCTTTCCTTGTGGCCTACAGCCCGCATGTCACCTCCGTACACACACCTCCCCCACCCACCACCGATGCATCACGTGTGAGCACTACAGTTTTTCTGTAAAATAAAAAAAATACGGATTTTTGAGAATCAAATCTCAGGTATAAGTCCAACATGAACAATTTCCATTTAAAAATTTTGTGGAGCTTGTTTTAGTTACTTCTCTGTAAAAAGTGACTGGGTTAAAGCAACTTTTATGTTTTCTATGGTCAGTTGGCATCAGTGACCATCTTGAATGATTTTGACTGAAAAACATATTTTCAACATGCATTCATTGATTTTTTTTCAGAGTTTGAAGATTCATGAGATATTTTGCTTACAGACAGAGTTGTTTCCAGCAGTTTATGGCAATATTTTATGAATGATCTTGCATGATCAAGACCACCCAGAAAACATCTTAGGAATTTGTCTCAACTACTTCTACCTTAATTCTTTGTTTTTGCTAATACTGCTTAGCTGTAGCATCCATCTTCAATTTACTTGACTCTAAATGTTAATCAGTTGTAGATGAAAAATAAAATTAAAAAAAATGACTGAAACATCCCTAATGAGACACACTCACAATCATGTCTGCTGTTTGGCAAGAGCACAAGGAAATCATGCTGCATAAAAAAGGTGTGTGTTGTATAGATCTGAAGAGGGCTGCATGGATAAACTTGTGGCCCATGGTCTGTATGAAGTTGTCCCTGACACCCAGAGGCCTCATCATCTACCATGATCCAGACTGTGATGCATCGACCTGAGCCCGAGGCTCCAGTCAATAAATCCATCCTTCCTCCTCTGACTCCACTTCATTCTTCTTCTTCCCCTCACTCTCCTGTGACCGGCGAGGTGAGAGGTGTCCTGAAAAAGAGGAATGAACACAGCGACAGTCTATCATGGCAAGGTCGAACCATGTCCAAAACTCCGGGACGTGTGTGTTGTGTGTGTGTGTGTGTGTGTGTGTGTGTGTGTGTGTNGTGGGGGGGGGGTACAGAAGGGAAAGAGAAAAATGGGAGGACATCCAAAGACAGTAATCACAACAAACATGCTGATGCAGTATATTTGGGTGGTAAAACCCATGGATCCGGGTTTTCAAAAAGTTTTCTGAAAATGCTGATGGTGCAGTTGTTTGGGTAGAATTTTGTTTGCCTCAAATGGAACAGCTTTACTAGCATTTCATTGTGTGTTAAAGAACATTCCACTGCATCTCCTAGCATGTTTTTACTTCACCCTTGAATCAACATTTTTGGTTTTATTGGATGAACTGTTTGATTTGGTTGATTTTAATGGAGCTTAGTTCTGGTATGTATTCCTCCTTTGTCCCAGGAAACTTGTACATGTTAAAAGAAGCATTGCATTTTTTTTTTTGGCATTCTTTGAAGAAATATGGATTTTCCTACACCTTTCAGACCAATGTTATTTTTTGATGAGAAAGTACAGCTTTATATATATTTTGGTCAAACCTTGTAAACTGTGTTAGGCATGATCTCAAGATCTTACAAGATGAGTCAGCACAGAGTATGTGTTGTGAATGGCTCTCACCTACTATCACACGAAAATTTTACTCAATACCTGTAATGGAGTTCTTGTCATTTTTGTATTGGTTAAGGTTGATTAGTTGAAATGTACATTTTGAATGACTCAAGTTGTGGAGAAACATTCAGTGGTTTGGTTATTCTCTGTCCAGTTCATGAGACAATTTGTTAACAGACACATGCACACAGTCTCATGAGCATGTATGCAATTTGTATGTCCCTAAACACTCAAACCTTAATATTTTTAGTATCAATAATAGAATTACTAGAATTTAAACATATGCAGCTCCAATGAAATCAGGTTTATAGAACAGCACAAAAAGTAAGGATTTTTGGGTTTGGTACATTATTTCTATGTTTAAACCATGCTTCTTCGAAATAAATCTTATACCACTGGAAAGCCTGTTAATATCCATTTTAAATGGTGCCACATTTGTAAGGAACATTTGTGAGATGAGTAGAGCTGAGTATGTGGGCTATGCTCATGAAAAATTTGCCAAACCTTCTCTGCCAAGCAGTTTACTCTGCTGTTGCTATTTACTGTACATAGGTTTTGAGCTTCTCAATCCCCCAGGTGCTGCCAAGGTGCCTTATTATTAGTTACTCATCATTAGACCAAAGAAGTTCCATGGCTTGTCTCAAGCTTTTACCCTGAAAATTGATAATCAGATCATTAGATGTCAAGATGAAGTTAGAAACCTAGTTGTGTGGTTTGATCCCAAGCTTTCTTTTGACTTCCACTTAAAGGAAGTAACTAGGATTGCCTTCTACCACCTCAGGAACATCGCCAAAATCCAGCACATTCTTTCTTTTGATGATGGTGAGGTTCTTATTCACGCTTTTGTGACCTCACGCATTGATTATTGCAATTCCCTCCTTTCCGGACTACCCAGGAACATTTTTAGATGTCTGCAGATGGTCCAGAATGCAGCTGCCCGTATTTGAACTCATTCCAAGAAATTCGACCACATCATTCATGTACTGTTATCCCTTCACTGGTTGCCCTGTCAGATTCGGGCTGATTTTAAGGTGTTATTGCTCCCCTTTAAGGCTTTAAATGGTCTAATGCCTCCATACCTTACCAGCCTCTTACACTACTATGTTCCACCACGCTCTCTCAGATCTGAAGGTACTGGCCTATTAATAATCCCAAAAACCAGAAGAAAGGCCATCGGTGAACATGCCTTCTCTTTTTGTGCCCCCCTTTCTGTGGAACAATCTTCCTCAGGACATCAGGCAGGCTTGTTCTGTTGAGGTTTTTAAAGCTAAGCTAAAGACTCACCTGTTTAAATTATTTTACTTGCCTTAACTTTATCCTTTGTTTTTGTTATCACTGCCTTCCCCTCTCCTGTGATTTTATCTCTTGCTTTCTGTGTTTTTACTTGTTCTTTGTGATTTTATTTTTTACTCCATGACTTCACCTTTTGTCATCTGTGATTTTATCTCTTCTCCAGAGCTTTGCTTGAAAGCGCTTTACAAATAAAGTTATTATTATTATTATTATTTTTAAAATTTCTCTGCAAGAAGCCTTGTTACAACAAAGAAATCTACCAAACATGAATTTCCTTACATTTTGTACTAAGTATATATACTTATTGACTCTCTGACTTTGTATTTGGACATGAGTGTCTTTTGATATCCATCAGCGGGCACTGCATCACCCTTTGCACCCCTACTTCCCATGACCTTCCCAATGGAAGCAGGATATAATGGTTATTGCACATTGTTATTGTTTGATGTTTGCCCAATTTAAGTGTGTAATGTTGTTTTCAGATTATTATTAGTTTCATTGTATTGTGTCTGTGAAGTACTTTGGTCAACACTGTTGTTTTTACATGTGCTATATAAATAAAGTGATGATGATCATGATGATGTGTGTATTGATGAGGGTATTAAATAATTCCCAGTAATACTGAAATTGTTTTCCAAAAAGTATTTGTTACATTTTCTACTTTTCTACATGTCTAAAACAACACATAACATGTCTAATATTGTGATTCACCATGAGTTGTATTTTATTTTTTTTTTTATTTTCAGCTGATTTTAACACAATGATGTCACCACATTATTGACATTAAGTCAAAACAGTTGAGTGAAAAAGAGGGAGAAAAAAGTTTTGTTTTCTTTACCTCATTCACATTTGTTTAAATTTAAAAATATACAAATTTGTTCAATGGGGTTTATCATCTGCTGCATAAATTGCATCATTCAAATCAAAACCCACACCTCACAGATATGTCAAGAGGAATGCTGATTTGCAAGACAACATGCACACACAGTCTTACAAACACACACTGGGCATAAGGATGGGGGCTTAGCCAACTTCTGCGAGTCGTCCCGACTTAACTTGTGCTCCAGACCGGGTCTTAATATTCCGCCGGAGTGGCGAAGCCGTTCTTCTGCACGACCAATCCCATCGTCAAGTCAAATTTGCATTAGCAAATGGGAAAGCAGCAACGGCCTATTTGTTAATCTGATCTTTGTTTACCCAACACTCTTGTAATCCACTTTTAATTAAATAGCCGCCCAAATATGTGCGAGCAGCAGTTTGACTTTGTCTGTGCCCACATAGCCAGACTGAAGAAAGAACAAAAAAAAGAGAAAGGAAAAAGGAAAGAAATAAAGAAAAAAGAAAGAAGGAAAGAAAGACTTTCTGTTGTCACCCTTTAGGTTTAGTGTCATGGTAAAAAGTGATGCTCATAGCACACATCTTTGGTTGCCAAAAATTACACAATGTACACGCACACACACACACACACACACACACACACACACACACACATATATAAAGCAAGACTTAGATTTGATTACCTGAATAAAACAGCTTTGTCTGCTCCAAACACTCCAACTATTAAATCTGCAGGAGACACACACACACACACACAGAACAGCCTTTTTATAGCAGCACATGGGGTCCTTCCTGTGCCCCTTTGTGTGTGTGTGTGTGTGTGTGTGTGTGTGTGTGTGTGTGTGTGTGTGTGTGTGTGTGTGT